CATGTCACTCTCTGCTGACACCCACACTGATTTCCCCAGTTCACAGCATCATCATGGTGACCTCGAGGCCTCCTCTCCTCTTTCCTTGCCYGAATTTCCTCCATAGAGTCCACAGCCCCCGCTGCCCTATCTATTTTACTGCTTTGTATTGTGGAGGACAACGATCTTCAGTCTCTTATCCTGTCTTGTTCCCAGGGCTCAGAACAGTGCTAGGCACACAGTCGGTGCTTATTAAGAGTTTGTGAATGAATGCCCCCCCCACCGAAGGATTTCCCAGTGGAGAGAGGAGTGGGTGAAAGCCAGGGGCAGCGGGAGGGCCCAATGCCTTCGGGAAAACCCTGGGGAACTGGTGCACAGGGGAAAGAGGAAGAGGCGAGACCCSGCCTGCAGTTGCCTTTCTCTGTGGAAGTGGTCCAGAGCAGGGCTCTTGACATGACTTGATTTGCATTCCTGGAGGATCCTGTGGGCCAGCAGGGAGAAGCAGAGCATAGCTGGGGGCTGCAGGGCCATGCAGGAGAGAGCATGAGGCTGCTGCCAGGAGCTAGGCTGGTGTGGAGGGAAGGGGTCCCAAGGGGGAGGCAAGGCTCTGGCTTCCTCTCCCTTCTCCAAAACAGTCTTCCTGCTCCCAGTGAGACCCCAACCCCAGCCAGCCTGCCCCCAGCTGGTGTTCCTGGGAGACCCCTGCCTTTAATACTCCCCCTCAGTCCCTGCTTCGGGCTCCATCCCTCCRTCTTCACCCATGTCTTCAGATTGCCACCATGCTTCCTCATCAGCCGTCCCTGTCACTTCGGGTCCACACCTGAGAGGGGAGCAGTTTAGGAGGGCTTTTTCCATGAGCTTCCTGAAGGGAGGGACTGTGTCTTTCTGTTGCAAGCCTGACAGAATCATGACAGGGCTTTGGAGCCTGGCATTTTCACCTCTAGCAATSCTGGATCTCCATCCCAAGTCTCCAACTTAATACCTAATTTGCTCTATGTAAGTAAGTCATTTTCCCATCTGTAAAATGGGAATATAAATATTGCCACCTCATGGGCGTATTCTGGAGGTTAACTGAGATCATGCATGTAACAGAGCACGACATGGGGGTGCTTCAGACGTCTCCTGGCACCCTGCTCACCTCCATTGCCTTTCACCATCCTGTAAATACCTAACTCTATCGTCATTGTAGGCCGTCTGACTTCACCACCAGTCTGCAAGCACCATGAGGGCAGGYGCAGAATAGTCATCGCTGTTAAAATAAACGTGCTGCATGAGGGGCTTGCTGGATATCATTAAACATGTAACACATGGGTTCCACTGCTAAACTCAACTGCTAAAAGAAGAGGGGACCCTGCTGGGCACAGTGGTGTGCACCTGTCATCCCAGCAACTGGAGAGGTTGAGGCTGGAGGGTCATAAATTCCTGGCCAGCCTCAGCAACTTAGCAACTTAGCAAGACCCTGTCTGGAAATAAAAAATAATACAAAGGGCTGAGGATGTTGTATTATTACCTACAGTGGTAAAGTGCCTGTAGGTTCAATCCCCTGTAACGAAAACAAAAACAAAAACAAAACAGGATCCTAATTAAGCCAAATTGACCTTGACTCTCCCCAAGAATCCCAGTGTTTGGGGGGAAGCTGAGAGTAAACTTCCCCTCTACAGACAGCACAGGCAGAATGATCTGGAAGGGGCAGGWTGGCAGGCCTGTTTCATCATACCCTGGCCTAAAAGGGAGAAGTGGAGGTCTCAGCCTCTGACCCTCAGCCAGGCCTGGGGCCAGTGGCCACTTTGACCCCCACCCCCACTCTAGAGGAAGGATCCTGGAATCAGGAGTGGGGTAGGCTCCCCTGCCCAGGCCTCTGTGGAGCTGGAGACCTGAGAGGCTGCAGTGCGCTGGTCCCAAGACTGCACACACACAGGGCCGGGAATGTTTATTTTTCCTTATTGACTTTCTCCAAATAAACCCCTGGCCTGCAGAAAGGGGCTCCCAGCAGCAGATGTTTACCCAGTGTTTGTGATAAAGGCCCTTCTCCATAGCAACAGGTGGCAAGGCACAGCTCTTTGGGATCCTGGCAGGGCCTCCCAACAGGGCTGTGCTTACTCAAAGGGAAGGAAAAAGAGGCAGAGAGGGAGATGGGAAGGAAGGAAGGAGGGAGGGAGGGAGGGAGGGGTAGAAAGAGGAAGAAGGGCACAGAGAGAGAGAGGCATCAGGAGACCAGGGGCTGGGAAGTGGACAGAAGGAGGGAAGGAGGAACAGCAGGTCCAGAACAGCTCTGTCCTCTGGGAGGCTTCTGCTGAGAGTTCCTAGTGGGTTCAGATCAGGAAAAGGCCATCTGTTGATGTGCATGGAAGTAGGGCCCTACTGGTTTGGGTGCCCCTGAGCAGGCCACGTGTGGAGGAGGAGTGGAGAGGTTCCCCCCAGCAGAGTGTGAGTCCAAGGGATTGTGTCTTCAAGTTAGAGTGTGTGTGTGTGTGTGTGTGTGTGTGTGTGTGTGTGTGTACGGGCACACACCTGCCCTCTGCACTGGGGAGGGAGGGGGTGTGAGTTTCCTAAGGCCACCGTGGGGGACACAACAGATGTGATCTCTCAAAACAACAGAGGGGCACACGTATACACACACACCTGGGTGTGTATCCTCCCCCGGTTCTGAGCTCAGAAGCCTGAGACCACCGTGATTCCCAGCTCCTGGGGACTGTGGTATTCCCTGGTTTGCAGATGGGTCCTTTTAATGGGTGTTTCCGGGGCCATGGCTAAATTTCCCTCTTGTCATGAGGGCACCMGCCCTAATCCAGTATGACCTCATCCTAACTTGATTCCATCTGCCAAGACCCTATTTCCAAATAAGGTCACATGCACAGGGACTGGAGGTTAGAACTTGAAGGTATTTGGGGGGGATGCCATTGTACCCTGTGCAGAGAGGGTCATGATAAAGTCAGGGATGACAGCAGACAGCTCTTTCTTGTAATCCCTCTTCCTTCTTCCGCGAAGGGGAAGTGGTGGGTACAGGGTGAAGAGGGGACCCACCTCCCTGTCTCAGCTGGGTGAAGTCCTCCAGCCACAGGAAGAGGAGGACTTGGGCCTGAGGAGGGGGTGCTAGGGTGACTGTGGGATGTCCATGACTTACTACCTGTGTGACCTTGGACCAGTTATTTATATCCCCCAGTGCCTCGATTTCCTCATTTGTACCAATTCACATCTCCAGGAGGACTACTGAGAATGGTGACTCACTTCGAATGGTGCCTGCTGAGTAGTAGGCGGTCTCCAAAGCACGGACCAATCTTTTTTTTTTTCTTCTTTTCTTTTCTTTTCTTAGTTGTAGATGGACACAATACCTTAATTTAATTAATTGATTAATTGATTTTTATCGGGTGCTAAGGCTTGAACCCAGTGCCTCATACCTGCTAGGCAAGTGCTCTACCACCGAACTACAACCCCARCTGCACATGGGCCATTCTTGTCACTTCCCATGAGCCTTGTTGTGTGCCAACCTGCTGGGGAAGGCCACTCCAGCATGGTGCCCACTCCTGCAGGTGGCAGCCTTTGTTCCAGAAACAGAAGCAGTGATCAGACACCAGGGGGGGCACCATTTGACATGGGTACAGCCTTGGCAGACTTTGTCCCAGAAGCCTGATGGGGATGAGGCACGAGTGGGGAATCTTCAAGCTGGACACGGGGCACCCTGCCTGAGCAGATAGATGCCACCCACCCTGCCCCACAGCTCATCCACATGCTCCCACGAGGAGATGGCTGGTGTGCGACAGGACCCAGTGACCAGGCTGAAAGCACACACGTCACCTACAGACACACACACACCCCCCTCAGAAACATCCTCGCACAGGCAGGCACAGACCCAGGCTTAAGCCACGTGGAAACCCATATATGATCCGTGGGCGCAAAGAGTCCACGAAGCTCGTAAAAGTCCAAAATTATTGGTTCACGGGCAGATCTTTCTTGAACACCTACTGTGCATCAGGCATTGCTCTAGTTCCTGGAGAAACCCCAGGGGACAAACATGGAGATGACATTTCGCCCAAGAGACAGCAAGAAAAATGGAAAAGCGAATTACATCGTACAGCAGAAGGAATTTAGCGCCGCGGAGCTGGTGAAGGGGGGCAGCAGGGCTCAACCCGTCTCCTGCCAGGTTGGCCTGCAGGCCCCGGTCCAGCTGTGCCCCCCAGAGGGACGGCAGCTCCTGGATGGCTCCCGTGGTGGCCTCTGTCAGGGTCCCCGCAGTGGGCGTCCCTCCCCCGGGGACGGGCTGCTCTCGCTGCAGCATGTCACCCCCCTYGTTACTATTCTAATCCTCATTACGGAAACGTCCTCACACTCAACACGACGACCACGCAGCCTGGCTGTTGTGCAGCCCCGTGGGGAGACAGGCCGGGTGTGGGGAGCTGCTGRGAGAGCAGTCAGAGCAGCCCGGGAAGAGTTGACGCCTTCCGGAGCTGGGGGGGYGGGCGGGCGGCTTGGGGGTGTCAACTTTTTCTTTCCTCTCTGTCCTCCTCTGTCCTGTTATCAGCCCTTCCAAGGAGGATAATTGTCTACTCGAGTTCWTGCCTGTCACCAAYGCATCCCCCAGGACCTCAGAGCCCYGCCCCGCCCTGTGGCCCTGYGCCTCCTCCATCTTTTCAGCCAGCCACCTGCARGAGTGCTGGGCACACAGTAGGTGCTCCATAAATGTCACTTGACAGCAGAGGATAGGAACAAAAGTCAATACAGGAGGGTGGGGTAACAGGAGGCAGGAACRTGAAATGAGGTTAAAGGGCTTCCCGGTTCCTACCCCAAACACCTAGGCTCCTCCAGAGGCATTGTCCTTGAAATCCGCTGTCACAGACTCAGTCCTTGGGCTAAGCATGTCCTCCTTCCCCCCTCGGTGCTCATGTAAAAGGCAAAGGCACCCCTGTGAAAGACAAAGTCCGTGGTGACTAACAGTGTGGTGGTGAATGACCTTGGCCAAGTCCTTGAACTTTCCTGGACTTCAGTTCCCTGGTCTGTACTGTGGGGATGAGACTCCTGCCTATCTCGGGCTGTGGGTGAGTGTCACCTCCCACTGCACCTAGCTGGCAGTGACTTCTCGGCATGTGGCAGGCTGGTCACCCTGTGCAGCAGGTAGGCATATTCCCCCAGCAAGACCCGCCATAGGGCAGAGTGGCCTGAAGGCTGGCTCATCAATTCCCCAAGGCCGGCAGGCATCAGCCTTGCTGCAGAGAGGCCGGGGATGGGGCCTGAGGGATTCGGAGACTCTGGCAGCTGGGTGGGCTCTCGCCCCTGAGCCAGATCTCTGCAGAGCTGAGGCACAGGGCCAGCATCAGTGGAGAGGGTGGCTGGGAGGGGGAAGAGGGAAGGTGAGGAAGGGGGGACTGGCAGGTTTACTTCCGGCCCCGTGCGATGAGCACAGGGGAGACAGCTAGAGAACAGAGCCCTCAAAGTTTCCAGCACATTCCTGCTAAAATTAGCCCCATCTTGCGTGCGCAGCTCTATATTTAAACTGGAGGCCTGTCAGAGGCACTGAGCTGTGCCGGCGGCACATGCCTGGGTTGGGGCCCTGGCATGCTGCGGAGCTGCTGGTGGCATCTCTGGGCAGGAGCAGGCTGTCCAGGCCTGGGCCAAGGCCCCTGCCTGCCCACACCTCTCGGTGCAGAGTTGCATGGGGTGTGAGGGAGTGATGGCAGGTGAGGCCTCCTGCTTCCTATCCCAGTCTCTGGGGCAGAACCCCAGCAGGACAGATAGACAGACACACAGCCACAGAAGGGATGGGGCCAGAGGGGTGGCAAGGGCACTCTGGGGGAGCAGAGGAAGGGAAAGGAGCCAGGTGAGGGCAGAGTAAATGGTATCTGGAAACTTCGACAGAGGGAGGTGGACAGCACCATGAGGTGCAGGTGGTTGGGTGGTTGTACCCCTGTCCACAGACGGTGGGCAGGGTGTCCAGGGGAGCTCAGCCTCTCCAGGAGCTTGGTCTTCCCCACCRGGCACCCCTGCTGTGAGGGTGGGGGATCCCAAGCTGGTCTCCTCCTYCTGCCTGCCGCCCACCCTCTCTGGGGAGAGCGCTGGCTGATAAGAAGCAACGTTTACCCGAGGCCTGGAACATTAACTTTGACACTGAAAAGGGGGTGTTTTATTACCCAGGAATATTTCTGCATCTCTTTAGACACCTTCTCACGTGGTCCCACCACTAGCAGCCGATCTCTTCAGACAAGGAAAACCACCTCTCTGTTCAACCCTGCTGCTCCAGCCCTGAGCGAGCCTCCTGGAGGGCATTCTATTTCATTTTATTTATTTGGGGAGCCAGGGATTGAATCCAAGAGTGTTTTTAACCAGTGAGCCACACCCTCAGCCCTTTTTATGTTTTATTTTGAGATAGAGTCTTGGTARGTGGCTGAGACTGGCTCTGAACTTGTGATCCTCYTGCCTCAGCCTCCGTGGCTGCTGGGATGACAGGCCTGCGCCCCCGAGCCTGGCAGGAGGGCATTTTGTATGTGGCAAGTTTCACTCCTGAAGGGCTGAACTCCTCCTCCTTGCCTTGCTGTTTTATGTGTGCTCCTCTGCACAGGTGTGTGCCTGTGTTTGTGCTTGTGTGTGCAGGTGTGCATGCTGGGGACAGGTGAGGCCGTCTGTGAAGTCCCCCACCAGGACCTTCCTGCAACAGGTCTGCTCTGATGGCCAACCTGCAAGCAGCCTTAGAGAGCAAGCAGTCCACCCCTCTTAGGCTACAGAGAGGGGGTGTGACTAGCCCAGGGTCACTCTAATCTGCACCTGAATTCGGGTTCCAAACTTTCCATGTGTGAGGTCTCCCTCCTTTGCAGCTAAGTCCCTCTCATCCTTAGAAGGTCCCTGCCAGGATGCCCTTCTGTCTGAGACCTGGCTCTGACTTTCCAGGTAAGGTCACCAACCCACTGTCCCAGATGTCCTGTGACTATCTTGATGTTAACAAGAGCAGTCCCACATCCTAGCCGGGATGGTCAGTCACCCCATTTCCAGGTCAAAACAATCCCCTTGCTTCCTGTGCTCTCAGAAATAGTCGTTGGCTTTCTCCACGAACTCAGCACCCTCTTCCCACTCATACTAACTCTCTGAGGATGCTACCGTTGTACCCATTTGACAGATGAGAAAAGTGAGGTGCAGAGAGGTCCTACGGTGTGCCCTTCTGAGAGGCTACAGCCAAGATTCAAACCTGAATACCCCGTTCCCTGAGGGACTCTCAGCCACTGGGCATCCCACCCTGAAGCCCTGCGTGCTTAATATATAAAGCCATCTCCTCCTTCAACCAAACCCGGCCAGGCAAAGTCCATGTCTCCTTAACCCTGGGGCCTGGAATAGTGCCCAGGATGTGATACACATTGAGCCTGTGCCTGGCCTGGCCTGGCCTGGCCTCCCCTCGGTTGGCACTAATCCCGTCCCTTCTCACTCTCCAGGCCGCTGGTCTGCAGGGCAGCAGGCCCTTTCTTGCTCCTGTTTGGCGTCCTCTCGGCCCCTCAGCCCTGTATTTCAGAGTCTTGAAAGCGGCCACTTTCATGAGCCAGCAAAGTGCAGGAGAAATTCACGCACATGTTCTGAGAGTTTCCAGACTTGGTCTTTGGCCCGAGGCCACCTCAGCCCCACCCTCCCCATGGACCCAAGATGGAAGTGCCCCACTCAGCAGCTGGGCCCTGAGGGCGGCCTCTGGCTTCTGGGGCCTCTGCTGCAGCCACCAACTCCTGTGCAGATGTGATCCCCATGGAGGGGACGGGTGGTACAGCTCTTGCGGTTTACTCTGTATCCAGAAACCCTTAGTGAAATTACAGCTTTAATTAAATACAGCTGGCTGTACGTTATATTCCGTATAATTATCGTGTTATTATTATTATCACTTAGACAAAAGTTCAAACAAAGTTTATTGTAAATACCGTTTGACTGGAAGAGCTGAGGGCTATTGGCTTGCCTGAGTGACAGAGGGAGGCGGCCACGGCTGTGCCATATGAGTCAAGAGAGGGGTCCAGGTGGCAACTGGGCGGGAGAGCTCTGGGTTGGGTGGGGCTCCGCAGACCTGCCACCCTGGCAAGCCCTCTCCCATACCTAGGCCTCAGTTCCCTTCTCTGGAGAGGAGAGGGGCTCATTTATTCTACAAATATTGATTGAGACCTACTATGTGGACAGCACTGTTCTAGGCCTTGGAATTCAGTGGTCGACCAMGAAGACAGAAGTTCTGCCTTCATGGAGCTTATGTTCCAGGGAGAAGAAGAAAGGCAACCAACAAATGCACAGATAAATRTGTGTAAGATGTCAGGTAGCAATGAGCAACCTGAGGACACAGAGTGGGACWGGGGAGGTCCAGGGGTATTGGAGCAACTGGGGAGTGTTGGTTTCAGGAAAGGCCYTCCAAAGGGGTGCATTTGAGTAGGGACTGGATAAAATAAAGGGATGATTTGTGAGAAAATAAAGAGGGAAACTCTCCTGGCAGAGGAAATAGCAAGTGCAAAGGCCCTGAGGCAGAAGCCTAGTTGACACATTGGAGGAATAATGAGGAGGCCGGAGAGCTCAGAGCAGAGGAAGGGAGGAGAACAGTGGTAGAAGATGAGGTCARGAGAGAGCAGGGCACAGAGCGTGTAAGGCCATGATCTCATTGGATTAGATTCAAATTAGGATCATCAAAGTTTCTTCTGACTCTCCCTGACTCTAAGGTCCTCTGTTGTGGAACAAACCACACCAAAACTTTGTGGTTTAAAACAGATTTAGAATCTCTCCCAGTTCTGTGGGTTGACTGGGCTCAGCTGTGTGGTTCTTACTCAGGGTCTCTCATGTGGCCCACATGGCCACTGGGCCTGGAATCACCAGAAGGTAAGAGAGGGTGTGATGTACCCACTGTCTGCTTCCCTCCAGTATCTGGCAGCTCATTGGGATGGAGGCAACAGCTGGGCTCKTGGCTAAGTGTCTCTTTTTCTGTTTCCTTTTGGTCCCATTATGTGGCTAGCTTGGGCTGCCTTACCACGTGGTAGGCTGAGGGTAGCGGGTGACTTACATGGTGCCTGACAGTGAACATGTCAAGAGACCCATGCAGAAATTGCAAATTATTTTCTAGCCGAGCCTAGGAAGTCACACAGTGTCACTTTTGCCACATTGCCCTGGGTCACCCCAGATTTAAGGCAGGTCAGTTCTACCCAGGAGCATGGAATTGCRGAGACCTGCTGCCTAGGAGCTGGGGCTAAACCTGGACTGTTTGGTTTTGCTCCTGCTTCCTTCATGGCTCAAGAAAGATACCACCRTAGTCAGACATGGTGGCACAGGCCTTTGATCCCAGCAGCTCTGGAGACTGAGGAAGGGAATCAAAAGTTAAAGTTCAGCCTCAGCAACTTAGTGAGACCCTGTCTAAAAATAAAAAGGATGGGGGATGGGACGTAGCTAAGTGGCAAGATGTCCCTGGGTTCATGCCCCAGCATCAAAAAAGAAACAACAACAAAAAAAAAGAAGAAAAGAAAGAAAGAAAGAAAGAAAGAAAGAAAGAAAGAAAGAAAGAAAAAAGAAAGAGAAAAAGAGAGATACTCTAGTTGGGCACATTGGTGCCCACCTGTAATCCCAGCTACTCAAGAGGTTGAGGCAGAAGGATCGCAAGTTCGAGGCTGGCCTGGGCAATTTAGGGAAGACACTGTCTCAAAATTTTAAAAAGGTTCAGGGGTGTAGGTCAGTGGTAGAGGGGGACACTTCTCCAGTCTCCTCAATGTCCCTTGTCCAGGACATGACAAATGTCTCAGTGCACATTGGTTTGTTTGGAACCAGGGGTGCTTAACTACATCCCTAGCCCTTTTTTGTATTTTATTTAGAGACAGAGTCTTGCCGAGTTGCTTAGGGCCTTGTTAAATTGCTGAAGCTGGCTTTGAACTTGCGGATCCTCCTGCCTCAGCCTCCCAAGCCACTGGGGTTATAGGCATATGCCATCGCACCAGACCCAAAAGCAGCTTTTCAAGGGTTGGAAGGAGAAGGTTTGCCCAAACACAAACAGCCCTTGCAATACAGCTGCAGACCTATAGTGCTTTTGAAGTGAAAAGAATCTTCAATATCAACCCTAAAACATACGCATAGATATGAGCTCTGAGGCCCAGAGCGAGGCAGGGACTTGCTTGGGATCCTCACATTAA